AAGTTTTATTAAACAAGAAGTAACTTGTTTCATAAGTTGTAAAAATAAACAAGTTAAGAATGAGAAAGTGAAAGCCACATAAAAAAAACAAAAAAAACTAGGCAAATAGGAATTTCATATTCTATAGATGTCTTTATAGTGTTCATTATGAATACTCTGCCTAAACAACCTATCAAAGATTAGTTTATTTACTATTTATATTTCTTATGTTAGAAAAGTGTTTCATTTTACCTTGTGTGATTTTTGGTATTTGCACTTTACATTTGTCATCTGAGACTAAAAATTTAAGTTTCTGTTGTTAGTTATTTTTAAAAAAAACATATATTTTGTTTTATATAACTAATTGTTCTGTAAACCCTCTCTCAATGGACAGGTCAAAGGGTTTAAGAGGGTTATTTTCAAAATTTAAATAAACAATATTATCATCGTTTGCCAATAAAATTGGCATCACAGCATAGCTTATAATGCAATATTATATATATTTTAATTTCTTAATTCAAAAGAAAATATTTAGACAAAATGCCAAATGTGTTGTTTTTTGTGTCATATTGGCATGTCTTTTTGTCTTGATGCTCAGTTTATATTTTATTATGCTTACCACACAATGTCTATAGTGGTTAAATAATTAGAAACTCAAACTTCAGACATTTACAGACTATAATATAAAATAAAAACTCCCACTTTTTTGATTTGCTGAGATATCAATATATTTTGCAAACCTATGAAGGTAACCCAACCCACTACTTCATTCTTTTGAAACCTCTTGTATATTCACACCTACTCCTTTTAAGTACATGTGTATAACCAAAAGAAGGAACACATTCCAAGCTATGTACACCTGACAGTGGTTTGAAGGGGAAATTTTGCTACATCACACCAGTCTTTATACCCCATCAGCTTTGTGCCATTTCAGAACATGTGCTGATCATGTGACTACTCTCCACCAATCGTACTGCACCATCTGTACTGGCGCAGCTAGCTCCCTCTACTATACAAGAACAATCCTCACTTTTTGATTTGCATTCTCATGTGTAGATGTGTATTTTGATTGTGCTTGATCACAAGTTATGTCAGTTTCAACTTCAAGTTTTGACTTCTTGTGTTTGAGTTCCATTGTTTCTGCTCATTTGTTTATAAATATTTTTATTTTTCGAATTCTACTTTGTTCATATTAATCTGAGATTTAATATGCCAGCTGATGAAATTCCTGTGACGGTCAACAATGGCTCTGACACAAGTCACCAGGTCTCAGGGTCGACGATATCTGCTGAGGAAGTATAGTGGAAAATTTGTGTCTTTCCTTTGTCATATGGCCAACAATTTTTTTCCTGTTACATTTTGATTTTTTTCTGAGGAAGGATATAACTACCGAGTGGAAATTTCTTTGTACGGCACCTTCTACCTGTTACCATGCCTCCATGTAATTTCCTGGGTTGGGTATTGTTCTTTTTCTCAGGAGATCTGTGGTAAGTTTTTCAGCATGTATTCCTCACTTCCAGTAGGCATACCCATGTTTAGGGAGCTTATGTGGGCTTGTGTAGATTGACCTAATTTCCTCACATGATAATTTAGGTCTTTCATGTCTCCTCTGCTCAGTTTTTGATAAGTTAGATTTTTATTATTCTTTTACCATTTTAGTTACTTTAGTTTAAATTTGCATTTACAGTTTGATTATTACTTTGTTTTTGGTTAATTTTTGGTATATGTACAGGTTTTGCATGATAATTACTGTTTGGGTAATTGTAACCTCAACCAGTTTGAGGATTAGTTGACTTGTTAGTTATACTTCCTTTCACAGTTATGTTAGTTAGTTTGTAAGTTCCTTTTTCTTTACTACTAGTCACATCTTCTTGGGGATTAGATTTATGTCAAATTTTGTTATTGTTAATTGAGGGCATTTTCATTCTCATGTTCTTCAGTTTAGGTTTTACTTTCATGTCCTTTGTCTTACTGGTTCTTTGAGTGAACTTATAAGTTTGATATTTACGTGTCTTTTCTGTTCTAAGTTCCTTTGGTGGTTTTGTGCTTTGGGGGCTGTTTGTGGTTTCATGTTGAATTTCATAGTTTTGCAAGTTTGTTATTTTTATGTACTTTGTAGAATCTACAAATTTCTTGGTTTTGTTAGTTCATTCGTAATGAGTACTTTTTGTAGGTATGTTTAGTTTGTGTTTTTTTGGATACACTTCATGGCAGTTCCAGGGGTTCTATGGGTTCTATCTGAAGTTTTTGCCTTCAGTTCCACTCCTCTGCTATGCACTTCCTAGATCTACTTCTCTTCTCCTCAGTACCTTAACTCTTCCTGTCATCTTGCCTAGTCTGTTCAAAACCTTCTACACAAAGGGGCTGTCAAACAGGTGGTACCCACTCAACCAGGATTTTACTCCTGTCTAATTGTTGTCCCTTGGAAGATGGGAGACTCTTCATAGACCCGTCCAGGTTGAACTGTTATCTAGAGCCATCTCACTTTAGTTTTTTTCCCCAGGACTCTGGATGACCAAATCGTCCTAATGGTTGTCTATTTTCATATTCCAACTGCTCCAGTGTCACATCATTTTCTTTGGTTCGTCAATGAGGGTAGTGTCTTCCAGTTCCTTGCAGAGTAGTTTGGTCCTTCTTTGGCTCTGTGTGTTTTATCGAGTTGTATGCTCTCTTGCTCATCATTTTCACTCGTTGGGTCTTCGGACTCTACTTTTCATGGATGACTGGCTCCTGTTCACCTCTTCACGTGCCTAATCGGTCAATCACATCTGATTACTTCTTCAAGAAGCTAATAGTGTGGGGTTTTCTGATCCAGTTAGAGAAGTTCATTCTTAACCCCACTCACTATCTTATTCCATTGAGGATTTTTCTTCAATTCCCATCTTCGTTGGATCCATCCTTCTCCATTTCAGCTCAGGGATATGGAGCAGGCAGTCTCAATGGCCCTATCTTCTCCTTTTCTCATTGTACTAGAGGTTCTCTTTCTTTTGAGGATGTGGGCTTCATTGGAAACTCTCATTCCCTTGGATCAAGCTCACATGCATTCCCTTTAGTGGATGCTTCTCAGCCAATGGAACTTTACCCACAATCCCTGGGACCATCCCATTACCCTTCCCATCGACCTTGTTTGGTGGCTCAACAGGGAACTGACCACATTGGGAGTTCCAATTCCTCCACCTTGTCTGGAGTCTTATCTGTTTACTGATGCTTCCATGGTGGGTTGGGGGGGCTTTCCTCAATTCCCCAGAGATTTCTAGTGTATGGCCTGTCTAGGAGGCTCTTCTGTTTTCAACATCCTGTAACTTTTGGCAGTTTGTTGAGCTATGTATCATTTTCTTATGCTCTTGATGGGATAGGTGGTTATGGTTCATTCCAACTATTCCACTGTTGTCTGCTATATCACCAAGCAAGGGGGAACCAAATCCAAATCTCTGTATTCAGACACTGGATCTTCTTTACTGGGTCTACGACCACTACATGACAATCTTGGCACGTTCCTGGCTTTATAAATCTGGGGGCTGATTGTTTATTTCAACCAAACCAGGTTTTCCCATGTTGTGGTCCTTTCTTCCACAGGTAATTAATTGGGTATGTTCTGAACTGGGAACACCACATATAGATGTGTTTGCCACTCACTGAATGCCAAAATTCCTTCCTTTTGGTCTCTGGTTCCACACCCTTCAGCTCTGGGAGCAGATGTGTTCAATCTGTATTGGAGGGGTCTTCACATATATGCCTACTCCATAGACATGTTGGCCTGCTCAGATGTAATTCCCTTTGCTCTGGATCTTACTGGAGTGACAGTCTCTCTTTTGACAACCACAATCAGACATAGTTCATTCCAACATCACCAAACTCCATCTTCATGCACAGTTTGTGTCTGGTCCCTTGCCCAAGCTCAGGGACTCACCCCTCATGTAGCATCTTTCCTTTGCTGTTCCATTCGACCTTCCTCCTTGTTTGTGTACCAAAAGCGGTGGTCTACCTTTGGACCTTGGTCCATTTGCCATGGCTTCTGCCTCTCCCGTCCTTTGGTACCTCTTCTTTCCCAGTTATTTGCTTGGTTGTTTGATCAGGGTTTGTTTCTAGTTATAGGGCTGCCTTGTCAAACACCTTCCAATTCTCCTGTTACTGGAAAGCTTCTCCTCCCCTGTTATTTCCTTATTTTCCATTCCTTTCTTCTTGTCTGTCTTCCTCGTCCCTTTGTTTTGCCATATTGGATCTCAGTTTTGTCCTTTATGTTCTCCATTTGAACCTATTACTACGTGTTCCTTGTAACATTTTTCCCTTAAGTATTCTTCTTCCTTGCTTTTGGTCAACGTTGTTCCAGTATTTATGCCATTGGTGTTTCCCACATCCTTTACTGTTCCTCTTCTGTTATCTTCTGTCCTGATTAGGCCTTCCTTTCATAGACATCTGCTGCCTGGGTAGGTGGTTTGGCCTTCTCTATTATTTCTTTACTCCCATTTGGTTCTGGATATACTTCTTTGTCTGGTTCATTCCCTGATATGTTATATGGCTTGTACTGCCTCTTTTCATGTTATTGCTCCCGCCTTTTTATTCCAAGGATTCCCTCTGTGTCCCATGATGTGTTCTTTATTGCTCTCACTGGTTGAGTTTGTCATCTCATATGACTGGTGTATTCTGACTTGTCCGTGGAAGGTCACCGTCTGCATAGTGTTTCTTTGCACCCAGTTTGTCCTCTAACTATGTCTTAAGCTACTACCTTTGCCGGCCTTTGGAGGAGATAATTCAAGCTGGAATGTGGACAACTCCCAATACATTTGTCACGCATTATCTACATGACCTGGCTGTGTTTTCCTCAGGCATGTGTCGTTTTCATCCTATGGAAATTCTACACATGCCTGTTTGCATTTGACTGGGGTAAGTTGATATATTACTTTTCCTATATATTTTTAGTTAATATATATCGTATTTCAGGATCCCACCTGGTGGCGGGTGTTCCCTGGTCAGGTATGCTTCATATTATGTTTGCACTAGATATGAATAATTGTATAGTGCTCACTGTTGAGATGGAGTATTTCTGTAAGACCACTGGCAGCTTGTTCGGTGGTACTTCTTTCTATGTGTATATATACTATATATATATATATTTTTTTTTTTTTTTTTTTTTTTTT